ATCTTGTTTATACTTTTTATGTGACAGTTTAGATCTATTCTGTATTATAACTATATGTATATATGGTTGTTCTCCCAGTGAACAATAAACTTCTTCATGTAGGAATTGTTACTGGATTTCAGACTCTGTTACCATGCTATACATAACTGAAGCCAGTAAATAGTTATTTCAAAAGAATAAGTTAGTTCCTCTAAGCTTACTCTCTCCTCCTTAATCCAAATTTTTAAGAATGTTGACAAAGTACGACTTAGCAAAAATGCAAATGAGAATTTGAAAATATTTAGAGAGGTAGTACATCAATAAGCTGTATTCCAATATTTTCTTGTGCCTCCAAACTGCATTCTTAAGAAAAGATTAGAACCAAGACTTATAGATTAAATTTTGGATCAATGGTTTCATACTATAAGCCATTCTCTTCCAGACTCAAAATGTACCCCTTAATAGATATTCTTCACAGGTTCCATTAAAGTGGTACTGAACAATACATCAGCTTTCTGACCTTTGGCTCATCATACATCAAAAGACAATTGAGAGTTCATTGGTCCTGGAAATGTTTTCATGTTTTAAATAGTAAAACATTTTTTTGAGAGTTGTGAAAATAATCAAGTTGTTTTTCACTGGGGTATCTTTTTGTTGTCTGTGCTCACTTTCTTTACTGATATAAAGAAATTAAAAGTTAAAAAAAAATCTTCAATAGGGGAAAACAGTTTAAGTTGATGATGATATAATGAGGGAAAGATTTTGATCTGTCACCCTCTATCCTACCAGGTCAGGTCCCACCCAGAACATAGGCACAACAAAGAAAAGTGAGGTACATGTGGTAACATATTTCTCAACCATTTGACCCCAACCCTTTCTTAATAAATATAAAACTTTATGATTCATATGTATACTCCCTTAATAGGCAGAAGATAGAATCTGAATTCTGAATATGTTCATCACTGAAACATTTTTAACAACTTTGCATTCAGAAAATGTATATAATATAACCAAAAATAATTTCATGTTGCTATGGATACTGAGACATCCATTCATGCTTCCCATTGTACTCCCCACACTTTTGTTGAGGATCACTGCTCTTCTGAAAAATAAAACAAACTAAACAGGCTTCTCCTTATTTAGGTAAAAGATAAGTGACTTATTATCATCAAATCATTTTTCCAATAGTAGCGAAGGTATGATCTCTGATCTGTGATCTAAGATCTATTTCTCCCAGTCCCTCTGGGCTTGAGGGCATTCAATTGTAAAACAGGTAGTGCAATCCAAGGCCAGAATTTAGACGGAAATACAGTCAGGCTAATCCCTGAATTAAACCTGCTCCTTTCCCTTCTTATCCATTGTGCCTTTATCTACAACACTAACCATCTCAAAAGTACAACATAAGAAAGCTTATGATAATACATTTATTAGCTATCAGGAGAATAATTATTCCTATTTGAAAGAAAAATAGGAAAAAACACACACACACTTTAGTCAGTAAAAACTACACCAGATAGGGAGTACTATTTCCCTTGACTGTGCAGGTTCAGAAGTCAATTAAATGACAATGACCTGGACTCAGAGCTCACACTGCCATGTCATCACTTGTCTTCAACAGACTTTGCAACCCAGTTCCTCAGGGATACTATTTTGGAGCCTGTACTATGAATCACGAGAATCCTCTTTAGTGTATATTCTATCCCTTCTTCGTATTCAGGAGAGGAAATATACACTAAATACCCTTTTTTGTGTATATTCTATTTCTTCTTGGTATTCAGAGAGAAAAAGTAAACGGGACTCATACATATCTCAACTACATAAAGAACAATAATTAACCTAGACTTGCAAAACAGCGTGATTGGGTATAGGAACCTTCACTCCCAGTTTCGTTCTAAAATATTGTAACCCATTCACTAAAGTCTTTCTTTCTTTCTTTTTTTAAGAATTATTTATTTATTGAATTCCATTTGTTGTTGTTATTATTATTTTTAATTTGACTGGAGAGTGACAGAGGGAGAGAGGAAAAGGAAAACAAGAAAGCAAATTGCCAGGTCCAGGACTCAAACCCAAGTCAGATATGTGGAAATCCAGTGCCTTTAACCACCACGCCACCTGCTGGCCCTGAGTACCATTCTTTCTTCATTTAGAACTTCAAAAGGGAAATTTTAGTAAAGGCCTCTTTCTAATGAGGAATCCAAGACTCTCTACATCTTTGTCTCTCTCATTTATTTTTGTGCAGACACACACACACACACATACACATATACACACACATGCACACACATATGCACACACATACATGCACATGCACAAACACGCATGCACATGACACATGCACACACATACACACATGCGCGCGCGCACACACACACACACACACACACACACTCCTGCATTTTTCGGTAGGAAAGCTGAACTAAAACCTAATCTGTGATTCCCTTCCTTTTGAGCTTCTCTATCTCCAAGTCCAAGACCAGTCCCAGAGGCAATGTCATTCCAAGCCTGGCATCAGAGTGTAGCTGCTTGAGGCCTCTCCTTTGTAACCCAGAGGTAGAACTTGAAGCTGTGCCTGTTACATCTTGCCTATGTGCTCCTCCCTTCTGGACCCCTTCCTGTATATTAACACTTCCTTAAATCCAACTCTGCTTGGGGTTAAAAAAAAGTGGAAAGGGAAAAGTTGTGGACCAGGGAGTAGAGAAAGAACAGGGCTCTTTAATTGTCTATGAGTTACCAACTTAAAACAAAAATCACCAGCAAATTAAATTTTAAAAAAGATTTGAAGTCAGGAAACGGGTTATAGTTTACATAGTTTTCATGTTCACTAGGAGTTCTATGCCTTTTTCATTTTTTTTTTGTCTTTCTTATTCTTAATCTGCCCATTTTTTAACTATTCTTGAGTGTTAACAGTAGATTGCTATTTCTGTACTGGTAGCCCCTATATTATACAGGAATCCACAAGAGATATCAATTTTGTACTAAATTTCAGGATTCTCAGGACCATGTTGTCCCAGGCATTTCATACACTCAGAGGTAGAACGGCGTTTTTGCTGAGGCCTAGGTATGAAAGCGTATCTTGATATAGAAAAGAAAGCTGTTCAGAAGTAACAGATGTCAAGCCGGGAAGTTATCATGTGATACACACTGGGGAAAGGATACGAAAGCAACGACAGCAATGTGCGAAAGAACACGGGAAAGTAGGAAGTTCGGCCATACTTTTCATAGATAACGCCTTTATACTTTCCGGCATTCCAAAAGAAAACGAACAAGTACTGAATTCTCAGTTCCTAAGCACACACTTACCTTACATTGGGAAAACCCAAACCCACAGAAAGGTATTTTCTTTCATCATATGGATGCCGTATATTCAAATACAACCTGACTCTCTTACCTCCATAAAAGGCAATATTTCCTACAAATATCCTTTCATGACAGCATTTACACATTTTTATTTCATAATTACACATAACTTAAAAAGAATCATTTCTTTTCACTTTACACCAGTCTGTGCTTTTCCTACAGGTATCTCTGAACTAACTTGCTTTTCCGCCTTTATACTGGATAGTCAGAATTACACTGCTCCTAATACTCTGTACAAAATAGCTCGGGAACATGACTAAGTCAGATACGATATCACAGACGGAACCTTTTCTTAATGATTGAAGCTAGACAAAACCGGATCTATAGAAGCAGGATCATCTTAAAAGATATCCTCATTTTAAAAATTGGTAACATTGAAAGCTTTCCATAGTAAGAGAAAACAAGAAACTCAAGTTTCTCTACTGAGGATCAGTGAGCCTGTGTGAATGTTTTAAAGGAAAATAGGCGCTTCCTTTTCCTTCTTCAGATAACTTGATATTTCCACTGTTATATTTACACAGTTGAGGTGTCTAGACAATAGCGCGGTCAATACCACAGCGCCGGGTCTGCCTTGCTGCCCTTTGGTCAACTCTTCCTTCTGTGGTTTGCACCAGTATGATGCATTTTGTTTTGATTTTCAAGGAGCTCACTTTGAATACTCTAGTCTAATTTTCCAAACATTCACCTGCAAGCATTTTCATACAAAACACTGATCTCTCGCTTTCTCTCTCCACAACTGCCCCCCCATCTGATTAGTGTCAACACAGCTGCCCTATTCTCAGGAATGTAAACCAATATTGTTGTTAGACCTCCCTCAACCTTAGGAAACTTCCTCAAAGCCTTACAGTCTGGTCTCTTCAGGAGGTTTTTTTTTTTTTTTCCCCCTTATCCTTTCGCCCAGTGATTTAAATCTCCAAGACAAACTCGTTGAGAAGAGATCAGAAAGGTAAACTGTCAATTTCTTAAGTAAAATTCTATTTGCTATAATTTACATTTACATGGACTCATGTATACATGTTTAATAATCTATCATTTCCAAAATAATTCTGTCATTACACAGTAAAAGTCTAAGTCAATTGCCAGGTAATAGGTAAAGTTCCCTTAAGATTTAGGTGGATCTCTGGATTGAGAGAAGTAAAAACAAAGATGACTTTAAAAAAAAAAAAATCTCACCTGTTTATTTCTAAAAAAAAATCATTTGCTTTTAAGATGAAGTCAGGAGATAGAATCAAGCTAGGAAGTTAGATACATTCAACTCATTTGTCTTCCTGGTACATGAATACCCATTAGAAGAGACATTTCAATGTGTCTAGCAGAAGGTGATCTGCGTTCTATTCTATTCTGATAAAAAGTGATTTTATAATCTCCTGAATATTGGCTTTCTTTAAATACATAATGACATCCAGAAATTGATTTCTCCTTTCCTACTATTTTATCACCTACTTAAAAAAATAATTTAAAAAAAAAAAAAAGGAAAAGAAATCTGATAGCCACCACAGAAAACATTAACCAAGAGAAGAAGGGGATTCCTATACACAATTCACAAAAGCATTACATTGGGTGATCAAGAAGCACACATATGTAAGTTTTTATTTAAAAAAATAAAATAAAATATAAACGGAAAAAGCACCTTTAAATGGGGTGCTAAAATCTAAAGTCCTTACCTCACTAAATTGAGTCTGGGCATTGTTTTCCAGGTACAACATGTTAGCTGTAAGGTTGATCAATGCTGCTGTCCTCTCTTCTGGCTCCAGGATTTTGCCAGCCCCCCCACCCCCTCTGAGACTCTTACAATAGGAATCTACTAAGAAGATAACAGAACTCAAATCCCTCTCTCTCCTTCTCTCTCTGTACATAATTTAAGGTTCCCTAATATATACCCAACTATAGGCATGAAGGGGCGGGACTCTTCTCTTTACCTGTCCAATCCATCAACTTCCACCTGGACTCCTCCACTCCAATGGAGTGAGGCCTCTCCCATCTCATTAAGTAGTTAGAATTCCATATGACCAATCTTTAAAAGAAAAAGAAAGAAAAAAAAAAAAAAAACAGGAGAGAGACAGACAGGTAAAACTTTCCCTGTCTCTTTCATAAAAAAGTGCACTCTCTCCTAAAAACAAAACAAAATCTCTCTAAACAAACCGTACCACTACCCCCAGGATTTACAGGAGGCATTTTAGAAAGTTAATTTAAAAT